TTTTCTCGTCATCAGTCAGTTGTCACTCAATGGGCTCACTTTGAATAGGAATGGACTTTACAAAAATATAGATTTCAAGCAGATATGGAATTCAAAGTTACTTAGGTGGGGTTTATCAATGGTGGGCCATCTACGCTATCCATAGTGGTAGCATAGCATAGTGTAGCTAAAATAAGCTAACATGTAGCGTAGTGTAAGTGAAATTCTGCAAATCTGCACTAACACTGCACGCAGGGCACCAAAGCTTGTTAGCTTTTAGTGTAGTGTTAGCATGATTCCACACACCTTCCCTAACACTACATGTATGGAACACAAAGAAGCACCCACTAGGCTGTGCTACAGCGCTTTTGAGCAGCTTTTGGCCTTTTTTGCTGCTAAAAGTGCTGTAGAGTAGTGTAACACAGCGTAGCGGAAATAGTGGTGCGCTAAAACTACCCAAAAAAGGTGTGTTGTTAACGTCGCTACAAATTAGTGTAGCATAGTGGGCGGGAGTTCAGGCTAACACTACACAATCTAATGCCGCTACACTAACACTCAAAGGCCCTATAGCATAGTGAAGGTTAGCTACCCACTGTTGGTTTTACTTATTTGCATAATTTAAGATTTTGGCTGGGATCTTTCAGAACACTTAAACTCAAATTGACAGGTCCCATCCAAAATCACAAATTATGTGTGATTATGAAAATAATTGAAAAATGTTTAGGTAACTTTGAACACCATAAGAGAGTGAGAAAAAAAATATAAGCTCAAAGAAAAATTCCAGGCCAATACCAGTTGTGATCAAAAGTCATAAAATCATTGAAAAGGAGATGGGATTTTTGAGTAGCACTAAAAATGCAAAATTTATTTTCAAGCATGGGAACAGGCAAGAGATAGGAAAATAATCTGTATTCTAGGATTTTGATTGCAAATAAAAAATGCATTCTCCATCACTTCATGCTTTACAAGGCCTCTTGAACTTTGAAACAACTAATTTTTTGACTTTGGAGAAGGCTGGTTCATCTTCACTTGACAAGAAATAAACCAGAGGAAGAATTGACATCCGGGCCAATACAGGTGCCATCTTTACAAGATAAAAAATGCATTCTCCATCACTTCATGCTTTACAAGGCCTCTTGAACTTTGAAACAACTAATTTTTTGACTTTGGAGAAGGCTGGTTCATCTTCACTTGACAAGAAATAAACCAGAGGAAGAATTGACATCCGGGCCAATACAGGTGCCATCTTTACAAGGCCACATGTGATGTCATACCAGTTTTCTTTGGGAAGTGGGAGACTGGGGAAAATGGTATGAGTGTAACTTCCATCTTTTAGTTCCACTTGACCGTTTGGGAAGAAAGTAACTTTTGGGTGTTCTTTTGATTGTCCCTTGAAAAATAAGTCTTCATGCCTAATATTTTGCTCATCATGGTTATTCTTCACAAGTAACGTAATTTGAATTTTCAGCCACCAAATCATACATAAAAATAAATTGGTTCAATGCAAATGAAACTAACGGGATCAATTTCCTCTAATAGACCATCTTCTTGGTACAGATCATATTTGTGAGATTGTACATGACAAGTTGCAAATTGATCTGAGTGGTTTTCAGAAATTCCATATTCTACAGTACCACTTCCTGCAGTTGGTGATGTTGCTTTTGCCACAAAAGGAGGTGTATGGGTTGGCAGTCCAATTGATAAACTAATTCCTTGAATCTAATATGACAGGTTGCATTGTCAGTTTCAATATTTCAGAACTTATTATGTATGATCAGAAAGAAGGGATGCTTTACCAAAAAAATAAGTGAGAAAATAACCATTGAGAAAGTACTATCCTATAAACCTAAAACAAGATGCAAAGTGCAATATCTAGCCAATTTAAGATATCAGTTCATGATTTAATGTATATGTGATACAGAGAATATAATTACTTCCTGAAAGTTTTTCAGTAAAGCTGAAAATAAGTTAAACAGTTTTTGTTTGTAGCAATGAAGCTGATAATTCTTGTTTGAAGATTGCAAACTGGGAAACTACTTATAGATTTCTCCAAAATGGGCAGTGCTCAATTTTATTCTCAATGGAAGTATCAGTATTATGAAACCAAACAAGTCGTAATCAGAGACACCAGCAGCTGTTGTTTTGAAAGTCTGAAAAGTGAAACGTTGGCAAGGAGATTCAGAACACAGCCACAGAAGTGTTTGGTTCAAATAAAATACCATTTTGGAGACCTCCTGAGTTTATTTTTCCAATATGTATGCTGGATCCCCTCCTCTGAACATCAAGTATCAGAACACCACTTGATCACAAGCACTTGCTACTTGTTTTGAATAAATAAATGTCAAAACAACTATTTTAAAAAATCAGATTTGTTTTCTCCCTGAATGGAAGTATCAGTATCATGAAACCAAACCAATCATAATCAGAAACACCAGCAGCTTTTGTTTTGAAAGTCTGAAGAGTGATAAATAGGGAAGGAGATTCAAAACAAAGCCACAGAAGTGTTTGGTCCAAATACATATGATACTGTTTTGGAGACCTCCTGAGTTTATTTTTCCAATATGTCTGCTGGATCCCCTCCTCTGAACATCAAGTATCAGACCACCACTTGATCACAAGCATTTGCTACTTTTTTTGAATGAATAAATGTCAAAAAAACTATGTATTTTAAAAAAGCAGATTTGTTTGCTCCCTGAATGGAAGTGTCAGTATCATGAAAACAAACCAATCATAATCAGAAACACCAGTAGCTTTTGTTCTGCAAGTCTGAAAAGTGACAAATGGGGAAGGAGATTCAAAACACAGCCACAGCAGTGTTTTGTCCATATATAATACTGTTTTGGAAACCTCCTGAGTTTATTTTTCCAATATGTCTGCTGGATCCCCTCCCCTGAACATCAAGTATCAGACCACTACTTGATCACAAGCATGTTCTACTTGTTTTGAATGAATAAATGCCAAAACAACTATGTTCAAAAAGCAGATTCTTTTTCTCCCTGAATTGAAGTATCAGTATCATGAAACCAAACCAATCATAATCAGAGACACCAGCAGCTTTTGTTTTGAAAGTCTGAAGAGTGATAAATAGGGAAGGAGATTCAAAACAAAGCCACAGAAGTGTTTGGTCCAAATACATATGATACTGTTTTGGAGACCTCCTGAGTTTATTTTTCCAATATGTCTGCTGGATCCCCTCCTCTGAACATCAAGTATCAGACCACCACTTGATCACAAGCATTTGCTACTTGTTTTGAATGAATAAATGTCAAAAAAACTATGTATTTTAAAAAAGCAGACTCTTTTGCTCCCTTTTACGTTTTGGGCAGTCAAAGCTCACCCCTGGAAGCCCGATTGCAGCTTCGTTGGAGTTGCTCAGTTTGAGAATGGTGGCCTGGCTTGTTTGAGGTGGGCTTGGGGTGAGAGCTAATGAAGGGACCTCAAGTTCAACCAAACTTGGAACAAGTCCCGCGCTTCTGTGGGCCTGGTGACCTGGGCTGGCTGGTGCCACTCGCAAAGCAAGCCTCCAAAGGAGGGACTTGTGACTAATACACACAAGCTCGCGTGTTGCTGTTGACTGTTTTTGGTGTAGTGATTATTTGATTGGCCAGCCTGAGTGTAGTTTAGGTTTGTTCCAAGGCAGAGTCACAATGGTCAAAGTTGACCATGTTGCCAATCTTCTCATCAAATTTTTAGGAATTTTCCCTGAAATTCAGATGAGCAAGATTTTTTTTGAAAAATATGAAACATTGACAAAATCAAAGAATCCAAGTTGAGTTCCAAGCCTTGAGAAGCTATTACTTAAGCAAGAAACACAAATCTGAGTGGAACCTTTGACAACTACAAAGTTTCTCTAGAATGTAGTTGTACATATTTCTCAATGTTTTCTTGATTACAATTTACTTTGGCAATTGGGGCATGCTGTCCCAGATTTTTCCCCTATAAAAGTTTAGATAGTGGAGGACTTCCCGTTGCCATTTAGAGTGCTTTTTAAGCCCTTTCCAGTCTTAAATTAACACCCCAATCATGATTCCAACCAGCTCATGTGAGAGCTATCATCACCAGGCTTGCAAAAAAAAACAATTTTTTATACCAAAAATTAAGATCTTGGGGGTGTAAATTAAATTCTGGGAGGGTTGTAAACCGCGACGGGAAGACATCCAGTGATATACTAGAATTTTCTCCGCAAAAAACACCCTAAAAACGCGAAAGCGACACGCAGGTGTGTTCGTTTTGGTCACAAGCCTCTCCCGCACTTCGTGCGTTCGACGGAGAGGCTGAGCAAGCTAGAAGTTCAACCTGCCACCAATCCAAACCATGAGAGAGACCACTGCATTGAAAACGGGAACCCCACCGTTCGCTCTTTCGCTGCCGGGGGACTGCGAGATGACATCCTGAATGTCGGCTTAGTAAGGTTAACCACGTCTAGTTTAGCTAGCAGTCTTTTGGTCGGTGCTGAATTGTCTGACAACGGCCTTACTTGCAGACTTGCCCAAGACATCTCCCGCTTGCCGACGCATTGGAAGGATTCTCATGTTGTTGGAACCATAGATACAGCACATCCTTCCCTCGTTCAGCTGATCGTTGATAGGAAAGCAAAGTGTTGATTTCTTTATCTCTTGCAGGGACGAGGCACGAAACTGTCCTTTCCTATCATCTCATTTTTAAAGGTGCACATCCTAGACTAGTGTGTATGTAAAACTCAGCTAAGAATGCTTAAGAATGTATCACCATGACATAAAAGCTTCAGACCACCATCAATCCATCATCCCCTTCAAAGGTTAATAGCCCTGTTGTACCCACGTCTTGAACGTTTTTCATCGCCATTGTCTGACTTAACTAGGACTCTTTTGTCAACATTCTGGGAAAAAAAAAATCTATCCCCATTGATAAAGTCGAAACAAGACATCTTTTCTGTCCCCATTGATAAAGTCGAAACCAGAGATCTATTTGCTCCCCATCGGTCTCTGCACACTGTCACCTTTCCTTCAGCCCAAATCGTAATTTTTCTGCTCTCAAATCCGATGGCCTTACAGCAGATCGTTGGTCGCCAACAGCTGGGACCTGAGAGCTGGGATGCGACACGATCGGATCACTCGGAAGAGGTCGAGCGAAACAAGCGGAAAGTAAGGACGATGCTGAACAAGTTGACGTGGGCGAATCTTGATTCGACGTCTGATCAACTGGTTGCTTGGGCCAACGAATCCGACACAATCCACCGCTTGGTCGTTGTCCTAATTCTCGAGCTGCTTAACGATCAAGGCACTCAGGCGAAGATGTACGCAGAGCTTTATCGGAGATGGATCAACAAGTTGCCGCCGCGAGTCGAGTCCGAGATGTCAAATGTCAATGGCAATCATATGCGCGATGGCCGCTGTATTTCGGTACACTATCTCCTCAGCCAATGTAACCAAGTGTGCTTTGGGAACTTGACCAGACGCGCTGAGCTGGAAGCTGATATTGCCATTGGACCATTCTCGGAAGACAATTCGCTGTCTGAAGCGCGTCCTAGCAGCAAGGATGACTGTTCGAGAAGGGCAGACATTTCATCAAACGACATCTCCGAATCCGATACCCCGCAGAAAGTCGCACCGAGCCGTCGTGGTATTTATTGTTTCCTAGCGGAATTGTTCAAGTCGAAGGTCATCACTGAACACCAGATGAACAGGGCAGTCGAGAATTTAACACGAAACAGCGATTTTCTCGAAGAACAATACATTGATAGCCTTAAGAGCGTATTGCCATTGATGAGCCTCGATGGGCTTCAGGGTCAACAACATCGGGAAAGCGACATGAATACTCGATTTGATCGACTAGTCAGGTTATCTTGTACTCATACTTATAGGCAGTTTTTCAGCCAACACGAACTACGGATGATCCAGGTAAGTGACACATAACGCTATGGGGATCTCAAAGAAACTTGACTGATTGGCTTACTCTGGTCTCAGGATATCATTGCCACCCGTAGCAAGAGGTGGGCTACAAGGACCACACAAGAGGAGACGAGTGTCGCGTGCACACCAACTCAGCTCTGGACCGACAACCACAGGAAATCACTACTTCAAATTATCCTTGATCAGCCTCAGCTTGAATTCCAAACAAACACCCGGAACCTTCAGCGCCTGAGTTGGGATAACTTAGCCAGTATCATGAACAAGAGATTCAACACCAAATTTCATGCGAGTGGCGTAAAAGATCAAACAGATCAAATTCGTCAGACCTTTGTGGACATTGCATCTTTGCGAAATCAAGTCGGATTCCAGTGGGATGCGCAAAAAAGCATGCTTGGTGCCAGTGAAACCACCTGGGACAGACTTCTTAAGGTATTAATTGTGTTTCTTGTATCTTGTTAGATATGTGTTAGGCGATATTAATGCATGCTTCACGTTCATCACCTTTATTCATTTGCTTCATCATGGGGATCTAATCCATGTAGGAGCCTTCGCACAAGAAATATGCTCAACTTCGTCAAAGACCAATCGAGTGGTACGGCCTGGCCGAGCGGCTCTTCGGGGGAACGTCCCCAGAAAGCTTGGGTAGATCTGCGAATTTGACCACGCCTCGTACCAGCAAAAGGAACAATGACGCGATTTCATCAGATGAAGACATCGGCATTGATAGCACCCTGAGGTTTTCCCCATCCCCAGCCTTCCGCGCGAAAAAAGCTAGACGATGTGAGGCCGATATTCCCGTAGAAGGTGTGGACGGTGTCTCCGCTTTTGTTACGAGCACCCCCAATGTCAACATACGCACCAACCCGGCTCATCAAACTGAAGAAACCTCGCCGAGTAGTACCACCACAACGCGCTCGATGGGGCCTTGGGTGATCCACACCAACAATGTCACGTTTTCGTTGCCTAATAGCAACAATAACTTCTACCTAGGCTCCTCCTCTTCAGCCGCTTGCGTCCCACCAGGAGCCCAACAATCCCAAGTCGATATTACTATGGAGAATTTTGACGGGTGAAGCCATGAAAAAATGCTTGGCAATCGAAGACAGACACGGTGGTGTTCTTGTGGTGATGGAGAACAATTTCGATCCCAAGTCTTTTGTAGAACTGGTATCATTAGACAACAATTATCTTGGTTGTGAAAACTGGTTATTGCATAACAAATCCCATCAGTCTTTGACCCCGTACTTCTTCCATCCTAGTTCCTCCCATATCTCCATGTATGTATAGTCTTTCAATTCTTTTATGTAAAAAGTGTGTACTACTACCAAGCTTTGAATTAGTTGTTAGCTTCAAAAAAGGGCTTGCAAGAAGACTTGGACCCAAATGCCTTGCTTTTCTGACTCGTTAAACATGTGTTTCCCAATCTGGACCCTGTATTTTTCAGTCCGAATCCCACTCATGTGTCCCAAAAACTCGGCGTTTGTCTTGCAACAACACCACTCGCCTTTAAGCTCATCCATCTTGAGTCTGAAATTTTGAAATCAAATGTGGAAGAGACTTTCATGTTGAGACAGAGTTTGGAGCGCTTCCACAAATTTCTGAAGGGTATTATATCCCGATCGCCCTAGCTGTGATAAATTAAATGTGTGTTAACTTGTGTCCAGCTCCTCGCCAGCTCTTCACAAATCAGGAAAAAAAACTGATCCGATTGCCTTTGGACTCTGGAGCATCACCATTTGTCTACGTGCACCTTTCGAAAAATCATCATCCGGTGATTCAATCTTAGTGATTGCCTATAGGAACAACGCTTTGGAGGTCATCAGACGCGTGACTCTATGACGGCCGGGAACGTCTTCCAGCCCTCCATTGATCAGTTGAACTAGCCTCGCTGTGAGCTCACCAGGCCACGACTCCTCTTGTTCAACTTCATTCAAGGAACTGTTCAGGAAAAGAGTGGGGGGTTCAAAGCTGCCCCAGAAGCTCGCGCAGGTCCTGAAATTCAGGAAGGAAAATGCTTCCTGGAACGCCCCCTGAGGGCCTGCGCTGCCTTCCTTCTCCTGCCCTACAGGAGGGGTCGTCCAGGACTCTCCAGGAAAAGTTGTCCTGGACTCCAGAGGTTCAGGAAAAACCTACAGAAAATTCGCCTTCTTTGTTTGTATCATCGGACCCGCCGGAGTTTTTTTTTTTTTACTCCCTCCTCGCTCCCTGCCCAGCCTTGCCATCTCTTCCTCACTCACATCCTATATTTTTTTTTCTCTTTCTCTCTTTAGGCTCAAGACATCCCTCATCACACCTCATTACTTCCCACTTCTTTCTCACTTCGTGCCCATCAACCACCATGTCACCAAAGAATTCTAATCTCCCATTCACCATTCCTGGCGCGACCGTTTTGACAAACAACGACCAAGTCAACCCGACCAAGCACAACAAGGCCCTGGTCATTGCTTGGGACCAAGACGGCGAAGGAGGCAAGTCGAGTATGAGGATCATCCTGGATTGGCTCGCCATCGGCGAGAACTATCAACGCTGGCTATGGGATTCCAAGCTCGGCTCAATAAAGTCGCCCTCAATAAACGAAATCTTAGACACAATGATCGGCTCCGGTATCACTCATCGCGATCACAAGGGAATCCAGACCAAAATCAAGGAGCTTCATAGTTTCTATGCAAAAGTTAGAGATCTACTCAGTCATACCCGTTCTGGTATCTTAGATGAAGAGATCAAGAATGGCACCATCAAACTTCCAGGTAAGTTTTTTTTTTTTGCTTTTTTTTTGACTATAATCAAGGGCTGACTTGATTGTCCCAGCCACCTTAGCAGAGATGAGCCAATACTGGGACGAGCTCCGGCCGATGATGTCGATCAGGATCCTAGCAAGCCGTCCAGTCACGAGCTCATCGACCGACCGGCACATACCCGACTTGATAGGCCGTCGAAAAACAAACATCAAAGTCATCCCGGCCAGACAGACCAAGGCTGCAGCAAATCCTGACGACAGTCAAGTCAACTTTGGTCGAAGAGAAAGCCCGCCGTCTGGCGGTCGTGATGCTCCTGCTGCTGCTGCTTCATTGGTTCGTACAGCTGGGACTAAACGGAAATCTCCGACTCAAAGTGAGTGTTATCTCTTCGCACTAGACTGATTGATGAACCACTCACCCTTCTAAAAACGAATTCTGATCCAATCCACGTAGATCCTGAACTTGCAGGTTTCGAGAGGATCATTGCCCAGAATTATGAACATCGCGAAAGGGTGGCTGAAGCCCGGGAACGACGGGAGCAGATGAAACTAGCGAACGAGCGACGTAGAGACAAGATGACCAGAGCCCTTGAGAGACGCAAGTTGAAGATTGAAAAGAGGAAGGTGGAGTTACTGGAGATGGAAGTCCGAGCGAAGGCGCGCTTATTGGCGGTCGAGGACGTGTATACACGGTTCCGTTTCGTCCGGGATCTGAAGCTCTTGGGCTACTCTTCCGAGCAGACTGAAAACTTCTTAGACAAACACTTTGCTGGCCGTGGTCTGCTCAAGAACGGTGCACTCGATCAACTCCGGTCACTATAGAGGAAAACGATTTATCTCAGGTTTGGGATTATTGGGTAGTCTATGATCTCTTGCTCCTCCTCTTGATTCCATCTATATCCCTCTCTCCTTTTCTTATTTCTATTGTCTTCCCCTTACCCATTACTCATTGGATCCCAACTGAGAAATAAAAAAGGAATGGTGAGCTTAGAAATTATATAACCTACATATACAGATGGAATGTCAATTGGATGAGACATGCAAACGATCAATTGGGTAAGAAAGGGCTTTGATATGGCCCCAGGCTGGATTGGATTGAAAAGCTTCCACCAAAATCATCAGTTTCCTTTAGTCATTGTCAAAGTGGAAAAGCTTATCTCATTGGTGGTTCATCTATCATCACACTCTGCCGTGCTTGCAAGAGACACAGAGACTTGAGGTTGCCCCCGCCTACCTGCTTCTGCTCACTGATCTGAGCGCAACACACACACCCAGACTGTGTGTTTTCCAAATTTGTCAAAGGCTTCCAACCACATTCCACCAAGGATCTTTTGCACTTTACTCCATCGCCGTTGCGTGCTTGTGGAGTAACAGTCTTCCTCCGCGCTTGGCATCAGTTGTTGAGCCGGTACTAGAAGTGTTAAAGAAGCTTGAAGAGCCACCAGCAGAAATTGATGTAACTCTTTATCTTGGCGGCGCGAACACCAGTCGTGTCCATGACCGCGTCGTATGCCGGAGGATCCAAAACCCGTTTGGGGGGGATGGAGGGTGGAAATGACAAACACGGCTCACCAGAGTCGAGGTGGAACGGAGCGGTGTGTCAGTCTGGGCCGGCGGGTGAAACCCCGCTACTGCTATGTATGTGAGCCGGCGGCAATCGGCTGTCACATTCATCGGCAGTGAGGGGGCTCGCTGGCAGAGAATGCCGGTGTTGGGCCGATGATGACGTCATATTTGTCGATCGGGGGGTTGTTATGATCCTCGGCTGTGTTCCAATATCAGCCTTGTGAACCCACAACCAACGAAATCAGACTCTTCACCACACACACACTGACACACACGATGCGCCTAAATGTCCTGCTTAGAAACTCCGGAAGGGTCCAGTCGAGTCGCCCGGTTATGAGAATTACCCCTTTGAGGGACTTCGTGCTGGGTTCTGTGCGGAAAATTAGCACAGTGGGCGTGATCGGCGCTGGCAAGTTTTTTGGGTGATTCTAACCATGTCTTAATGCTTGACGATCGACTGATGAATTGTGCATTTCTGTACATCAATAGGTCAAATGGGAACTGGGATCGCTTTCGTGGCTGCTAAGGTGAAAGAAGAAGAAAAAAAAACAACGAAATTCGAATATTATTGAGTGACTGAAATCTGGTGTTACTTTAGAATGCCGGAGTCGATGTACTCCTACACGACCAACTTCCGGCCGCGCAGAAAAAAGGTCTCGCTTTTATCGGTTGGTCTTAATCTTCTTCGGGCTCATCGAATTTTCTGAATGAGTCTGCATTGAAAGTTCATGACCATCGATCTTCTGAAATTGAACACGAGCTTGAATAGACAAGTTGTTAGCCAAGGATGTCGCCAAAGAAAAGCTGTCTGAACAGGAGGCCAAAGGAGTCCGGGACCGAGTTCGAGCGATTGGAGATCTGAACGAAATGGGTCAAGTCGACCTGGTGATCGAGGTTAGCTCTAGCAAGCGATAAAGACTTATAAACTCAAGACTAATCATCAACTCATCCCATCTTGTTTTAAACATTGTGATGACGAGATAGGCAGTGGCCGAGAATTTGCCCCTCAAACAAACACTCTTCTCTCAACTTGCATCGATCTGTAAACCAAGCGCGATTCTTGCATCCAACACCTCCTCCATTTCGCTCACCAAGATCGCCGCCTCAGCCATCAATCCCAACCACAATCCTCAACAAGCGACTCATCCCGATCCTTCGCCCTCTCGAGTCGTCGGGTTACATTTCTTCAACCCAGTTGAGTGAGAATTCGATTTTTTTTTTTACAGAAAGCATAACGAAACTGATTATATCAAGTCATCTCAAGGTGCCCGTCATGTCACTTGTCGAACTCATCGCAGCATTGCAAACTTCTCATGATACTTTGGACCGGGCCAGAGAGTTCGCTGTCCGATGTGGGAAAGTCGTGACGGTTTCAAAGGACACTCCTGGCTTCATTTCCAACCGAGTCAGCTTCCTGATTCACAATTTATTATAAGCTTTTCAGATTTGATTGTTGATTGAATCTTGATGATCTGGTTCTTGATTGTTTCTCCAGGTTCTTATGCCAATGTGAGTCAACCCATAATATGATTCTTAAAAAATTCCATCGTCGTTTCCTGAATATACTCAATACTTCTGGATACTCCGACTTTTCTTATAGGATCAATGAGGCGATTATCTGTCTCGAAGAAGTAGGATAATTTCCTTAGATTTTTGGATGACTGAACCATACCCCACTGATTCCGAGAGGAAACCTATGTTAGGGAGTCGCCACTCGCGAGGACATTGACCAAACAATGAAACGTGGTACCAATGTGCCAATGGGTCCGCTCACCCTAGCCGATTTGTATGTGGCCTCGAAATTTTTCTGTAGATTTTATTTTGTTTTAGCATGCACAGAACAACATTCGAGTTATTAATTTATTTATTGTCTGGTCTACAGCATTGGATTAGATACGTGTCTATCGATCATGCAAGTTCTTTACAACCAAACCTCTGATTCTAAATATCGTCCTTCAGTCCTCCTGAGTCGCATGGTTGATGCTGGGTGGCTAGGTAAGTCTTCCTCCCCCAGATATTAAACCTGTTGTCACTCTTGATATTTGTATTCCTCATTTGTTTTCCATTTCACAGGTAAGAAGGTTGGTAAGGGATTCTATGAGTATGACGGTTGAAGGGTTCTACTTTTCATCGTCGCTCACTCTATTATTAGTATCGTTGCAGTTGGGTAAAGTGTATGTTGTGTGGGTGTGTAAAACAAGTATTGTATGAGCTTTTTCATGCTTTCTTTTTCTGATGTATATGTATCCTAAGAGAAACATTTTACAGCACAGAGTGATACTTTCTCAAAAAGAATAAAAATTGAAGTTTTTCTGGGAAAGGTCATAATTTCCAAGTAATTTCAAAAACAAAAATGAGACAAGGATCTAGAAATGGCTAAAAGAATAGGATCAGAGAGACAAACAAAGTGACATGCAATCTAACACTGGCATTGACCTCCAACAGGTGTGCATAACTCAAGTGTTGAAAGATCAACCCTCAACACTTGGTGCAGATAAAGTCAGCAAATAAAACTGCGGAAAATTTGGGGGCAAATATTTTTATATTATTATCTTTTTGGGAAACTGCAGCTGATTAATAAAAAGGATAAAACTTATACAAAAAGAGTCCCATACGTATGCACATGGGAGTGCTTCTGAAGACAAGAGCTGAGGAAAAGCAAAACTTAACCAATTAGAATGCTGGTGCATACTTGTTCCAGCCATCTTCTTTGATGAACCCCATGCTTCTTTACCAAGTTAGCACTGGCACGAGCCTAACTAGGCCTCCACGGCGGGAGCGGGAGCGAGCAGCGGAGCTGTCCACGCCAGTGGAGGCCTATGACAAATACGCCAATCCCCGCGTGCTGAGTTCGTGGATTTGGGTTGAAAACCACGATTTTCGTCTTTAACCTTTTGTAGCCGTCGTCTCATCGACCTGTACATGATTTCCTTCCCAGGCCATGAAGGCCTGCTTCTTACTCTTCTTCTTGTGTCTTCAGTTTTTTTTTATTTTGTGTTGCCATCCTCTTGATCGTCATTGAAAACGATCACTTTTCAACTTGAGTTACCGATGCTAAGTTAAGATCGCCCCGCTTTTTTTTTTTTTTTTTCAACAACTTGTTTTTAATTAGTAAGCCAAATGAAATCACACCTGGCATAACGGTGTATAACATCACAAGTTGAATGTTGAAAAGACAAAGGATCGGTCAGTCAGATACTAGAGAAATCGACTCTTGACCATCCGCCATCGTAAAAACCACAAAAACGGACCCGGAACCTGGCACTACCGGCCCTTCCGTTTCCAAAGAGACAAATCGAATTCGACCGGTCCTTCCGTTTGCGAAGACAGAGAGCTTCCGTTCGCCAAGAGAGACAGGAAACGAAGCAAGACAGCAGACCGGCACTGCCGGTCCTTCCTTTTGCGACGAGAGAATGTCCTTCCCTTGGAACGAGACAGGCACTACCGTCCTTCCGTTCGCGACGAGAGAACTCGACCGTTTGCGGCGAGCTCAATCAGATTGAGAAACATTCGGCCTTTCCGTTTGCAACAAAGGCACTCGGTCCTCCCTTTTGCGACGAGCGAACGGCACTACCGCCCTTCCTTTTGCGACAAGAGAACTCGACCGTTTGTGGCGAGCTGAATCAGAGCAAGAAAAGCTCAGCCTTTCCGTTTGCAACAAAGGCACTACGGTCCCCCCTTTTGCGACGAGAGAACGGCACTACCGTCCTTCCTTTTGCGACAACGGTCCTCCCTTTTGCGACGAGAGAACGGCACTACCGTCCTTCCTTTTGCGACAAGAGAACTCGACCGTTTGTGGCGAGCTGAATCAGAGCAAGAAAAGCTCAGCCTTTCCGTTTGCAACAAAATGAATCAGAGTGAAACCGAAATTCCGATTGAGGATGATTCTAGCCATGAGGAAGATTCCGATTCCGGGCAAAGAATCTCAGCTTCCAATCCAATTGAAGATGATTCTAGCAATGAAGAAGATTCCAATTCTGGTCAAAGAATCACAGAGTCTGAGGTCATTGATGAGATTGCTGCTCTCAATCGTGGAGAGTCTCTTCCGGATGAGTTAGCCAGCTTAAAATTGCAAGCAACCTCAAAGAAGAGAGTCACCTTGCGCCAAGATATCCTAGAGCTCAATCACCAAGAGCTCAAAGAGCACATCCGAGTCGAGTCCAGAAATCTCTATGGCGATGAGGCCAAGGATGAACAACTCGAAGCTGTAGCCGCCTTAGTCCATGACCGGCACACGTTTTTCCTTGCAGGTACTGGTTTTGGAAAGACTCGAATAGCAGAAATGTATCACAATCTGTTTCAACCGTATCAAAAGTCTATTGTATTGGTCTTGAATCCTTTGGATTCACTTGGAGACAATCAGGTATGTATTTAATTTTCCCAAAATAAATAACTACTTTGGATAATTTGGAATCTTACATTGACATTGTTACTGTTATCTTTATTTTTGATAGGTTGAAGAAAAAAAGAAAGTAGGAGTCAATAATAGACATATTAAAGCAGTCAACTTGACCACTAACGTCTTGGATGCAAAAATGGCGAGGAAGATCATTTCCGGGGAGTTTGAATTTGTTTACCTGGTGAGCTACTCAGGTCTAAGAATAAAATAAATTGCAGTGGATCAAAAGAAGACAAAATGTAGAGTTGGAACTGACCATAGATTTCTTGTGTAACAGAGCCCAGAAGCCTTGCTTAACAATGAAATCTTCCGGGATGTATACTTTAATCCGAAATTTCAAAGCCGGCTGTCCTTGATTGTCGTGGACGAAGCACATATGGTGTATGTGTGGGGACTTGTTGCCAATGGCCAATCAAAAGGGCTTACCTCCCATCTAAAACATGGAGAGCGTGGAGTCTTCCGACCAGGATACGGTGAACTGGCTGCTAGGTTGATGGCGACTAATGGAACTCCGCTGCTAATGATGTCCGCCACCTGCCGCCCAATTGCAATCAATAGTATTCTTGAATCATTCAAGCTTACCAGGCAAATGGTTACATTTGTTGAAGCTGAACTCACCCGACCGGAAATTCGTATGTTGCGGATCGATATGCAAAAGTCCCTGGCATCATCGGAAGACCTTGCTGACCTGTACAGTACTCAAGAGCAAACACCAGACAATGAGATCATACCAACATTAATCTATTCAACCACCAGAAACCTCACCGGACAAGTCCTTGATGTCGTCAACGATGCGCGTGAGGCAAATCAAGAAGACAATCCTTTCAGCACCTTTGCTCGACGCTACCACTCCATCACTGGTGATATGGATAAATCTGATGTCACCGGTGATTTCACAAAAGGCGTTTTCCCCGTGGTATCTTCAACCATGGCGCTTGGGTTGGGCCAAAACTGGAAAAGGGTCCGGTGCGTCATCCACATGGGCCGAGGGGACCCAGCTTCAATATGTGAGATGCTCGGACGTTGCGGGAGAGATGGTAAAAAAGGCCTGGCTATTATGTTTGTGGAGCCACATCGCAAGAACGGAAAGAACTCAGTCAGTGATTTCACCAATGTCGAGCTCCAGAACGACAACGACAGGATGGACGCGTTAGCAATTACACCAGTTTGCCTCCGAATAGCATTTTCGCTAGATAATCGGTATGTCATATAAGTTTGATAAATAAAAGGGATAATACTTACTTTTGATCTGACTGTAGACTAGGGTACATTCCTCTGTCTTTTGACGATCCAAACTACAAGAGAGAGGCAAAACGTGAAGTTGATGCAGGCTTTAGTGAATGCAGCTGTTCAAATTGTAAACCCGAAAGCAGCAAATGGGTCATCAACAACTTTAAACGAGCAAACATCAACAATTTTGACTCGTTTATATCCGACTCACCGCAAGACATAACCGAGCTGTTTCCAATTAGACAAGAAAAACAAGTGGCTGACAATCAAATTAATTGGGTTGAAGAATCTGGGAAAAAACCATTGCACGAGATTCTTGAAGCCTTCGCACAGGCATTGGTTCGGTACTTTTGCGATTTTTTCGATTCCGAGATGAAAGGTGCTGCAGCATATCCACCAGACGCCTACTTCAGTATCATACATGCCCGCAAGATTTCAAGAAATATCAAGCACCTTACTCTGGACAACATTGAACAGTTGATTGGGAATGAAATGTTGACCGGTCAATTTAAAATGTTGTTTGATCACATCACACTCTTTCAATCAACCAATTCCTACCAATACATCTCTCATCGTCAGGAAGAATTGGATGCTGAACTTGACTCGAAAGCAGCCCGATTGCGAAAGGAAAAAGAGGACGAGGATAACCAACGCGCTGAAACCACAAGAGCCATCCAAGAAGCTGCTGCTCAGAAGAAAATCGATACAGCTGCCAGAGTAAAAGCCAATGCTGAGAAAAAATGTACCGCAAAGGAGGCCAAATTCATCGAAAGCAAGAAAAAAAAGGCCAAGAGAGAGAGTGACATGGCTTTCTTACATCAACTTCAGGCTCAAGCGGAGATTGATCGACAGAATACAAGGCCCAATGCTTCTGATCCTGAGACCTCTAAAAGTGTGCTTGTTGATGAATCAATGGATCCTGCTTTGCTTTAATTCATGATACAGAAAAAGAATAAAAATAAATATCTGGTTTGGGTAAAGATGAAAGGAAATACAGGCTTTTTGTTAGTTTTTAATGCATGTATTATTGTGACTGTGAGAAAATTCAACAATCATCATTTTCCAGAGGGCCAAAGTAATCTTCCAGTGAAATGTCAAGCTCGCCAGGTGAAATAGGAAGTGAAGAAGCCTCGTCAAACATCCAACTAGGATTGAGAAGGGTTTCAGATGGTCGGAAGCGATTTAGAATAGTTCCCCCTGTGAGAGCATCATTTTGCATGACTTCCATGCCTCGTCTCATAATATCAATATCTTTTCCTTTTAATTTCTTTTTGGTTTTCTTTTTACCTTTTTCTAGAGCTGGAGCTGGAATTGATGCTGTCTTTGTGGAATCCGTATTATCTCCAATGGACTTGGTGATTGCCATGCGAAGGAATGCATTGATTGACTGAAGTGTGAGTTGATGCTTGTGTGATTGATAATAATTGCAGGCACCCGAATCTTCCTTGATTGATCGAATTAAACGTTGCAGCTTCAAACAGATAGTTCAAAAAGGGTCAAATCAGCAAGAAGTATTCATGATTCAGCCAGGATTTAACTTACCAAGGGCACATTTGAAGAAAAAAGATCCCTCAATCGCTTAGCCTTTGTGCCAATACCGCTTTTGTTGAACATAAATTTGAGCCAATAGTTAAATGTTTCAAGCAAGAAATCCTTGGCCACAAAATGACCTGGCCGTCCACTTGGTGTGACAAGGAGTGAATGTTGGATCGCATGGCAGAGAGCAGGCGGGAGAACTTTCGTGATTAAGAGGATCATTCGAGGGAGGTGTATTGCATAGTGAGTTAAACCAGTGATGCCTTGTGCCATTACAGACCATCTCCGCCAGATATTCAATAATCCACCAATATCGCCTGCTTTCATTGCTCGATTGGCTTCGATAACAGTAGCAAAATCACGTAAGCGGGTCATGAGGTTGAAAAGCTTTGGAGAATCAGATTTGTCGGCGTTTTGGAGTGCCGTGCAGCCGAAGAAACGAGTGTAGCATAGGTCAATGGCATGGTTGATTGATTTGGCTGTTAATTTAAGCTTTTCGTTTGGTAGGCTGTTTCGAGGAATCCCCATGACTAATCTAATGCAGATAAGGTGTAATGTGAGCAAAGATTGAAGATGATAAGCAGAGAAGAAAAAGCATACAGTAAACAGTGAATAAGTGTTGCTTCATGGATCTTCTGCATATTGGTGAGCATAAGTGTGAAGTCTTTTTTCGCAGCTGGTTTCTCCGACGGAAGGCCAAGGGCTTGAAGAGTCCTCCATGCTCCAAGATCATCCTGGTTTTTATTATTTCCAAAGTGTTTCAGGAAGATAGCCTGGCCAATATTCCACAAGGTGTGAGCGGCCCCCAAAAGCATGAAGATGTTTCCAAGGCTTTCTTCTTTGTGACCACTGGGTTTCCTTTGTGATCGCAAGCACTCTAGGTTCATAATCGTTCCAAGGTCGCCCTCCATCACCTGAAGCTCTGAGAAAAACTGTTCGGGGGTAAGATATGTTTGATCTATAATGTCGCTGAAGATTTTTCCGACTCCTTCAGCGCAGTTGTCGGATGCCAGCATTAGTTTGAGCATTGTGATCTGTGGTTTTTTAGCAGTAATTTGATCAATTGTTGGTGGTTCAAGAGGAACAAGTTTCTTCGGATCGTCTGTTGTAGCTATGTAAGTCATCATTACTTGAGCAATTTGGCTCTTGATGGCTGCACGAAAGTGAATCTCCTCTTCGAATGTTGGCATAAACATTGGTGGTGTAATCTTCAACTTGGCAGAGTCTTTGATCGCCTGCTTGTAGCTGTCGAGCGAGAAATCCTTTGGATCGTGGCCTTCGATAAGAGTTGGATCAAGTGTGTGAACATAGCCCCATGTTCCATGGAACATGTGGCTGGTTTTTTCAACTGACTGGAAGTGGATGCGTTCCTCAAAGTCGATATTATCGATACATATAAACGGAGAGATTGGTTTCCTTGATTTGATCGAGAGTTCTTGGCCGGCGAGGGTTTTACGGGTTGTATCACTTAGCCGAACCAGAGCTGAGAGACCTGTTTTTCTAGACATTGTAAGACCAATGTAGTGAAGGTAGCTATTTATTCGTTCTGTCACCCCACACGCCACAAAGATGACAGAGTTCCATAGTTGCATGGAATTTGCCCGTCGATTTTCTCCAAAAGCAACCATAGCACATATGGTTTTAGCAGTCTGAAAAGAATACAGAGACCACACCATTAGTATGGAGAAAATAAAGATTGAGAGATGTTTGCCCACTGATTTTGCACGGGTCTCTCGCTTATTCAAAGATTCTTTCTTTTTATAATCTTTTGTAGGTTCGACTGTTGAAGAATTTTCATTGTCAAAACTGATTTCTTCAAGACTATCATTGGAGCAAGCGGATTCCACATCGTCATCATCGAGAATTCCAGATTCTTGCTTTCTTTTTATGCGATTCGTCAGCTTGGCTAGAAGTAAATCGTGTAAAAACGGCATTTCTTCTTCCACAAGGCTTTTTTCGCGAGTTTCCTTGGCTTTTCGAGTGAAGAAATTGTTGTCCACCTTTCTTGAGCTGTGATATGCGCCATTGGGGAAGGTACCACGTTTAGGAGACTCAGCAATAACATAGATCTTGGCCTGTTAAAAATATTGAACAGGATTTAATCAACACAAAAGCTGATAAAAAAGCGGCAAAAGTACAGAACACTTGCCTCCTTTAAAATCAAATCCTTCCAGAGATGACGTCCTGTCTTCTTCTTCATTGTGAGTCCTTTGATTGATTGAATTATATTCAAAGTTGAGGGCCAGCCGCTCTGGTTTCCCCAGTTTCCTCGCCGCAAGGCCAATTGAATGTGTCCATTTGTGAGGAAAGCCTGGATGAACTTCTTGGGAGTCAGGCCAAGCTTTGAGATGATTTCACATATGTGTTGAACTTTTTGAAATTCAGTCTTCAGATGAGGTTGAAAGTGAATGTTCCGCATCTTTTTGAGCAATCTGATTGATAAAATCAGGCTAATCAAAATGCATTTCAGCATAAATAAAAATTTAAATACAACAAATAAAAATTAAAGTACAATAAATAAATAAATTAAAATACCTGATGAAATCAGGAGCTATGTTGTGGATGAAAAGCACGGAAAGTGTAATAATCCACCACTAGGACTAGCACACTAGACTTTTAATAAAAAACAAAAACAAAAAGGTCAGATTATTATGGTTAACAAGAGAAAGAAAGAGACAAAAATAAAGCAATATATATCAGATTGTTGATAGTGATACTCACTCTTGAATTGAGGAAGATGTTGAAGTGATATGAAAAAGGGAATGAGGATTGGAGTTGATGGTCAACAGGATTGAAGTTGATGGTCAATAGGATTGGAGTTGATGGTCAACAGGTGTTCTGTCTTGTGTCTTGACTGATGTTTGTCTCAAAGGAGCCAATTCTGTTTGGAGGTTCTGTTTCAAGAGAGTCGGTCCAACAAGTCGGTTTGGTTTTGTATGATCAGCCGGCTTCGTCACAAGGGAGCGAGTCAATTTTGTTTCCAGCAAGCCGGTTCCGTTACAAGCGAGCCGGTTTTGTCACAAGCGAGCCGGTTCCGTTACGAGTGAACCGGTTTTGTCACAAGCAAGCGAGTTGATTTCGTTTGCAGCAAGCCGGTTCCGTTTTGAACTAGCCGGTTCCGTTACAAGCGACTCCGTTTCGTCACGAGCGAGTCGACTTTGTTTCCAGCGAGCCGTTCCGTTACGAGTGAGCCGGTTTTGTCACAAGCAAGCGAGTTGATTTCGTTTGCAGCAAGCCGGTTCCGTTTTGAACTAGCCGGTTCCGTTACGAGCGACTCCGTTTCGTCACGAGCGAGTCGACTTTGTTTCCAGCGAGCCGGTTCCGTTTCCAGTGAGTCGATTTTGGTTTGAACAAGCTAACCAAGACCTTTTTCAAAATCGTCGCTAACTTTGAATGTGCTGTAAAACACAAGCGTTCTCCCTGCGATAATGATGAGAGTACCAGAGGCAGTTAGTTGATCAAGTCCACCAACCACCGGAGGGAGACCAGACTTCTTTAGAATACAGATATCGCACCTGAGACGTTCCAAACGAGGTGATTCCTGTTATTTGTCTTGACTGAGAATGAACGATCCAAATAGTTTCCTCTGTTTTGTATTGGCCTGACGTTTTGGTGTCGAGAAGATTGATGTTTTTGATGAAAGGATGACTTGTCGAATTTCGACCAGGGGCTGTATTTCTGAAGTTATGTCAGGTGATATGGCTTCTTTTTTTTGTTTGTCAATAATGTAGATTATATTCTTAAGGTTTTTGACATACAAAAGTTTGTCGGATGAGTTTGTCTACCCCCAAGAGGATTTGCAGACTGATATTTTAGAAAATTATTATCAATTACGGTTGCGAGGAGCAACTTCTAAGCTTTGGCCTGATCAATAAGATCAGGCAGGTCTGTAAAATCCGAGACCAAACATCAAAAAAGTTTTGAGGGAGCGTCAGGATTTCAAATCTTGTGACGCTCCCACCAAAACAGGAGAAACTCAGCACCTGAGTTCATCGACCTCTGGCCCAAGTCTCCCCTGCGGGGAGTTCCCTTCGGGAACCGCCTGGCCAGCGCTACGCTGCCAGATGCGCCCGCCGCAGCTGGAGACTTGCGTCAAGTTCGGCACTGGCACCCTTCGCTATGCTAGAGCTGTTTGGACTGTTTGGGTGCCCCATCAATCTCAGTCTTGTATCTTGCAGGCTTGACAATGTTCTAGGTTCCATTAATTGCCAAATGAAAGAAAAAAAAAACTTTCTCTCATCCCTTAGAGTACACACATACCTACATTTTCAAGCAACAATATCTCTGCTGGAGCTTGTGTGTATAAGATTGCATTGATCTTTCAGATTCAGCTACTGGATAAATATATAGTTTTGCCACAGCTTGATCAACTTTGGACTATCCTATAGATTCTTGCAAGTCTCTCCTTCTTTATACATAAGGAGCTGGTTCAGGTGAGGGATCTGGACCTTCATACACACAGATATCCAAGCTGTTTATGGAGTTGATGGAGGCTGATTTCTATCAAATATATAGATTTCTGAGACAGACTCCAGAGATGTTTGGGGCAATTTGAATGAGGATTGGGCGAGGTGTGGAGCTGTGACAGGTTATGTAGTCGGTGGACGAGTGTGACAGCTGTGTGTGCTGTGAGTTTGGCTTGGATCGGAAGAAGTGGCTGGCTTTGTTTTTGACACATCTTGCCTTCTTTTTTTTGTTTTTGGACGATGGCCCAACTGAACAGATACCAGCAACTACTCCGACAACTACTATCAACAACCACTCCTTCCAAACCATCATCGATCATCACCAGAAGGAACTCATCTACCACCACCAACACAACAACAACAACAACAACAGCTGAAATTACTGGCTCACTGTCTCCATCACTCGGCTCATCAAACAATCAGCAGAATGACGAAAACATCAAGACCATCAGGACTCAATCTCTCATTCATAGGATGGAAAATCACGCAAGAAAGACGATCGAATTCAGACAGAGACTGGCTCAAGATCGTAAGACCTTTTTTTCTAATATAGGCTCAACTCTAGGATCCTAAAAAAAGAAACTAATATTATGATGCGGGGGTTTTTGTTTTTTTGTATTGATAGGCGAACGATTATCGAAACTAGGATCGATACAGACCACATTAGAGAGTTCCAAGCCATCGCATTCGCGGACCCATCCGACGCAAATCTCTGACCTAACGCTGGCCACCTTGATCACGGCGACGACGCATTTAGGGCACAACAAAGCGCTGACCTGTCCGACGAATTTCCCATTAATCTACGGGGTCCGATCGGACATTGCGATCATCGATGCCCGTCAGACGCTCAGCTATCTCCGTCGGGCATGCAATGTGATCAGAGAGACTGTGTTCAACGACGGGATCGTCCTGTTCTCCAACGGGGTTCCCGGGACCGAGAAGGCCATCAAACAGGCCAGCGAACGGCTGGCCGACAACGGCTATTCCTTAGGCATTCGGCCTAATGGGAAGGGGGCCTCCTGGGTCAGAGGCACCTTGACCAATGCCACCGAGGTCTTAAAACGGCCCCGCCAAGTAGCCAAACAACTCCGGCTCGCCAATCCTTCTTCTTCTTCTTCTTCTTCTGGTTCAAATGAGGATCCTCAACGCAATAAACAACAACAAGCCGAGAACCTCGAGGCCTTGAAATTCTTGCCCTCCTTGATCGTCCTCTTCAATCCCAGAGAATCCAGAGTCCTCCTCCGCGAGGCCGCCCTCAAACAGATCCCTACCATCGCCATCATCGACTCCGACGTCGACCCCAGAGTCGTCACCTATCCGATCCCCGCTAACGACGACTCCGTTCGCTCCGTTCAGCTCATCGCTGGCGTCTTGTCTAGGGCCGGTCAGGAAGGCCTCCTCAAGCGGAAAGAATCGTGCGTTTTTCGTCCTCCCTTCCTATCTTCTGAAAATCCACATTCATTTATTCGTATTTGTGTTTTTTTTTTTCTTTTTTTTTTATACTTTGGATAGACTTTTGTCCACTTTTCCAGGCTCCGACTCGTTGCAACTGTCCTAGTATGATCCCCCCATCCATCGTCCAACCATGATGCAAATAAAGAACATACCCTTACTCGATTTCCTCACACTCCAATACAAAAATGAACAAAATCGAAAGACAAAGGAGAGAGAGAGAGAAGATGGGAACACACCCAGCCTGGAATGCATATGCAGGATATTGAGAGAGAGGAGCCATGTGTTTGGATGGCCCTTGCGGTTTCCTGAATCGAGGGTCCGACGAAGTGGATCCTGATGGTGGCCCCATGTCCTTGACTTGTCAAGATGACCACCTTGACTAACAGTTGGGACATGAGTGCAAGATGTCGGCCTGTTTGTTATTCTTTTGTCTGTGTGTTGTTTCCGCTATCCTCTGGGGGATTTGAGAGGGTGTGTATTTAATTGAAGAGGGTTTCCATCCTGCACATGGAGTTTTTGGGATGGACGTTACGAGTGATGTGTGGCAGGGACCTGTGAACCCATTTGGACATGTCTATAAGGGCCCAGCCAAGAGTGCAGATGATGTTGTTATCTTTGTGGAGATGGATGTGTGTGGATAGACAATCTTGTACTCAGCTTGGACTGTATAAGCTTACATCATCATGGCTCCATTAAACTTGATATTAGTTTGAGGAAAAAAAGGTTTTAGGAAAAGATGTGAGGAGGCCAAAAAGGGGGTCCTCAGAGCCCTCAAAGAGGGCTACAGTCTGTGCTAGCATGCATCGTGGAAAAAGCACACACACATTACAGGGGGTTGTATTTAGGAGACAGTCTGGGGATCAGGCTCAGGAAACAGATGCTCAGATTTCTCTTGTCCAACCAAGGTAATTCAGCTATCACACCCATGAGGGACAGGTTGGCATGGGAGGAAGTTGAGATGGATTTCGAGAAAGGGGATGGACATTAGTGACTCGATGGAATGGAGTGACAGGGATGGAAGAAGATTGTCTGGAGACCACCGAATTCTGGTTTCCAGCATGTCTCTTGAGATGCATTAAATCCTCCCCAAATGAGACCTCCCCAGTGGTTTTATTTCTTCTTCATGTTCTCATCAAGTGTTCATTCTGATCAGTTGAGACGAGCCATGTCCATAATTCATCCCTCTTGTATGATGACTTGGAGCCTTAGCCGGAAACAGATCCGGTCTGGTCCTCTGCTTGGTCCTTCTCTGAGGCACTCTTTCCTGCCCTATATATGTAGCCGGCTCATCAGCCAAGACTGAGAAGGCCGCTTGTTTCACCTCACCTCAAGTCTTCAATCAGGTCTGACCTAGAGCCTTATACTCTTGTGTGATGTCTAGCCTGCTCTATACTGGCACTTGCAGCTTTCAGCTGTCTAGATCAAATGGCAATGCACTTGGGCCAGACTCATATAAGACAAAATCTTTCAAATGTTGAAAGTCCTTCTTTATAGGGTGTTCATCTTTTTTCTTTTTTTTTCCTTCAACAAATCATGAAAAGAGTCTGGATTGTTAATCTAGATGAAACCCCCCAAATCCACCCATACCATGAAAACCCTGCAAACAGCATTGGTGATAGAGGCCTTTGTACAATTGGCTCCAGCTCAAATCATTTCTTTGAAAACAAACCACAATTCTTTCAAAATTCTACATGAGTCACACAGCCACCCAGGGGAAAAGATGGGCATAAATTGTGTTTTCCTTTTGCCCACTCTTCTTTTTTTTTTAAAAAAAAAAAACATTTTGGTTTTCTTCCAATGCCTACAAACTGTTTATTTTTTCCTCCCATTGGAATTGGAGTCAAGTCCATTTTGGACAAGTAGAGCTGTTGGAAAAGAGAGTCCCACAATGGTCCACAATTCAACTGTTCCGCTTACATAGCTTCATTTGCGGATGTATCCTAAATTTCAACCTTTAGAGCATGACAGGATTCCCTCAGGGATCATAGGAAAGAAGTGCTCCTGATTCTTGACAGGAAAATCAAAAGAAAAAAATCAATCTCATGATGAATAAATATTGACACCCATTAGATCTGTGTGTAAACAAATTAGAATTATAAGCCCATTTCTCGATTGATCCAAATTTTGAATGAATGAAAGAAAGAGAGACCCAGGAAAGGGAAGGAAGAAGGGAAGTCAAAGAAGACATGAAGGAGAACAATTGTCCATCCCAATTAATCAGAACAGATCAAACAATCAAACATCCACAACAACAATGAAAATGCAAAAGAGAAATAAACAAAGAAAGAAAACTATACCCTTGATGATTATAGTAAAAAAAAGTAGAAAACAAATGAGTATGAAAAAGAAATGATTTGAATCAACTAATTGTATACGCACTTTCAACCAAAAAGATCTGAAACACAAGGGGGAAAAAGTGTATATAAAGAAATCAATGACAAAAAAATGGAAGATGAGAGGAAGAAAGAGAGGCATAGAGCCTGAACAGATTACTCAATAGAATAAAGAATCATGATAAGGGTGTAAAAATGGTGCAACAGAGACGATACAAGATGGTATCAGCACTTATTTGTAGAGGCTTGGCTAATTGACTCCCAAAAGTTGGAGAGTTGACTCCCAAACCCCCAAAACCCCCAATTTCGGGAGTCGATCCCCCAAACCTGTCAGCAGGTTTGGGAGTCGGATCCCCAACAAATTTAAATAAAAAACCTGAAACTCCCAAAGGGGGAGGGACTCAATGCCTCAAAACCCACTGGGTTTTGGGAGTTGTCAAGCCAAAAACAGCCCCCAATGGCCAGGAGGGAATCCTCCCGGCCATTGAGAGCACACTCTCACAGAGGGCATACACTCTCAACGGACGAGAGTGCATACCTCTCGGCTGATTTGTGTTGTCTCACTTTCCTGAGACAATACACATGTATAGTCTTTGAAAAGTGAGACAAGTATTCTGTATTGTCTCAGATGACTGATCCCGTCAAAACCATATTTGATACACAAGATATTTGGCCGTATTGAAGAAAAACGAAAAAACAAAGACATTTTTTTCCTTTGTAAATCCGAATCCAAGACAATAAATTTTTTCACCAACCAAGAAAATACTGATACCGGTATCAGGCTCAAAATAAATACAATACAATCCGATACGAATACATGTCTTGTATCTGTTGCACCGTTGATAAGGGTGTAGATGAGGAAGAACATTAATGATAAGAAAAGATAAATAGCCATGATGATAGTAATAAGAAAGGGGAGAGAGAATGGAGCCAATTGAAATGAAGCAAAAGAGAGAGAAAAAACAGAGGTGAAGATAGGATTATTCATATATAAACAAAATACTCATCCATGACCAAAAGGAAAAACGTGAAGATTCAAAAAGCAGATGAGGAGGAATAATCTTTCAGTTGATTAGTGAGAGTTGAGGAGGGTGTGGTTGGAGCAGAGTGAATGTGTTGGTGAAGGCTTCATTGAACAGTTTTTCTACTTCTGATGTAGCCTGAAAACCTAGAACAAAAGAAAAAATAGGATAAAAATGAAACATGCTAATTGATTGACACAACACTGAAACAGAGACAAGACAGGAAAGTATCAGGTGTTTATTTGTATTGTCCCAGAATTTGAATACCCAAAAATACCGTATTTGTGTTGTCTCACTTTCATGAGACAATACACACATATTGTCTTTGGAAAGTGAGACATGTATTCTTTATCGTCTCAGAGGGATGATCCCACCAAAAACGTATTTGACACACATGATATTTGGCTGTATTGAAGAAAAAGGAAAAAAAATTGAAGACATTTTTTTGTGCATTTTTAAATCCGAATCCGAGATGGTGGATTTTCTCACCAGCAAAGGAAATACTGATACCAGGTATCAGGCTCAAAATAAATACAAGACAAGACAATACCAAATAAGTGTCTCACATCTGTTTCAGCATTGATTGAAATCACCCATCTAAAAACGGGGGGGGGTATATAAAGAAACTAGATACTTGCTATCCAATGATCCAATCCATCTACACTAATTCTGTATCTGCACATTTTCTGGGTGTAGCTAGTATCAGAGGGACCTGACAGCTTCACCTGTAGCAGTGATGGGCAGTTATGTTATCCAGTTATCCATTAATTTCATGTTTAAATGAGTATTTGGAGATCTGTATCTGTCAGACACTGAGACACTAGTCCATGTGTCTACATGAGATTGTAACCCCTCCATGTTACATAATAATAAAGATTATGATATGTATTCTTTAAATTGATAAGTATTTATTTAATGTTATTCTTTAAATCAATGATGATTTACCTATGTACATATTTATCTCTCTCTCTGGATGATTAATGTACCTCTCTCATGAAAGTAATAATCAAATTGCAAAGGATAATCATCTCTTGTGTTTATTCAAGTGATTATTATCCTGTGTATCTCTCTTGTGTATCTCTCTTGTGTATCTCTCTTGTGTATCTCTCTTGTGTATCTCTCTTGTGTATCTCTCTTGTGTATCTCTCTTGTTTATCTTCTGAAATAAGAGAGATATTCTACATATGTAATTCTATTTTCTGAAATAAGAGATATATTCAACACATGTACATTTGAATGTTTGAATATCTTGACACTTTCCCCCAAAGGAATAGTGTAACGATAAGGGGACTGCACCAGTCATAGCAGCAGTTTGACCCCTGCTCTGTAATATTTAAGGGGATGACTCTTTCCCTGAGATTCATCCCCCAGACAATTATTACCATACAAACCCAAGTACCTTACTATAATACTGATAAACAGTGAGGGGGGTTTTAAGTAGTTTATTGTTAGTTTAACTAGTGTACTTTCCTCTTATTATTATCACTAGTCTATATAAGTTAAGTCTTGAGCTTTATAGACTAGTAACAACCCTTTTCTCTTATATTCTCAAAAGCTCAGGCACTGTGCTTATAAGGAGCTAGCCCCTCCACTTTACAAGTGTTGAGTTGGGCTTATTTCCACTGGCCACTCTTTGGCTATAGTGTGACCCAATACCCTATCAACTCTTGGTCACATAAGAGACCAGAGCTGACAGTATCTTAGAATCTCACAATTCAAATGAATCCAGAGGTTCATGTTGAAATGATTTAGAAGAATCACTAGGCACAATGTGGCAAACTCAAACCTGTGAACGATTATCCTTCAAAATAAAACCAAAATTAGTTATCCAGCTGATTAGTTACAGATAACTGAGCTTTGGTGCTATAATACAGGATTACAGCTATGTCAGTTGAACCTCATTCATTTGGCATGAACACATGATAGCATGCACTTTTAAATATCACACAAGAGCTAACTCAATTTCATTGCACATTAGCAGCATATGATACAACCATTTACAGACAAAATTTGATCTGGATAACTGCCCATTGCTGCCTGTAGGCCTCCATGGTCCCCTAAGCTAATAGGATTTTCAGGAAGGGTGTGTGAGGGTCTTGGGCAAGACCTTCTTCTGAACCCATAGGCCTACCAGTGAGGGAAGCCCCTCCTAGATCAAGAAGGGGGCCTCAGCGGCAGCCTAAATGGTCGAGGAAGGTTCTCTTCCTGAAACAGAGAGAGGAGAAGTGAGGCAAATCACACTAGACCCCTGGGTGGGAGGGAGGTGTTAAAATAAAGGGGGGGGGGATAGCATGTCGAGACATGCAAGCTGAAGTGGGATGGAGAATGGAGCTTCAGGTGATGTGGGGCGGAGAGGATCAGAGGGAGCAGGGCTATAAACTCCCCTTCTTCAAGCAGGATGGAGGGCCATGCCCGGCCAGGTGGCTCCAAGTGCTTGTGTTCTTGGACTTCAGACACATCCGCTATACGCTCCTGTCTCTCCCAAAGAAAAAAAAACACTGAGACTTGTTGACTGCACCTTGCCATTGATAGAGAGATGCAGGCTCTTATGTGGATAGACATACCCTCCCCGTCTGCCCCCCTCACCTGTGGCCTCAAATCTTCTCGAGCTCTCTGCATTCTGGTTCCTCTTCTTGCAACATCACAGAGAAGCTGAAACCAGCCTGCAAAAAAACTAAAGTCCTGTCCATGATGGCCATTGATCAGATGCATCACTTGGATTGATCAAGCTACAGTTATGTATCTAATATTATGGTGGTCAAATATGAATATGGAGTTGTTATGTAGTATAGAAATACAAAAGATTCAAAAGCAGGATTTGGCAGGGACCTGTCAGCTTACTTCAAACTCTAATCGACAGGTCCCAGCCAAAACCATGAAGTATGCTTTTAAGTAGGAATTTACATATTCATATTTGAACAGCATATTATTATATGTGTGGAGCTGGATGAATATGTCAAGGATCTATATCCACTCTTTGTCAGATATATGATCATCATAACAAGTCTGATTTAAAGTATCTGACATAGATGTTGTTTTGTGTTTGTTTATTGATTGAATACAAGTTTCATTCTAAAGATGTTTTGAAGCTGATTATAGTTGTTTGATCAGACTTGATGAGATAATGATCTTGTATGTCTACATCTCTACATAGCTACCATGGGAACTCCAACACAAAGCCACTCATTGGTTTTTCTGAAGTGGCTTCTCTCTCATCTCCCATCATTTTATCAACATCTTTTTCTTATTCCTTTTTTTTTTGGGTTCAATCATGATCCATTTTTTGGGGTGTTTAAATCACTTACAATACAAAAAATCAAATCCAACAGCAGTATGTCATTGGTTTATATATCAAGCAGCCCAAACTGAGCTCTGAAAAGCATGTATGTATGTACCCTAGATGGAGTGATATTCCTTGGGGAATATGCTGTCACTTTTTTTTATGTACATACAGGACATACCCACAAGCACATGTAGTATGATTGATTTTTGGAGTATAATGATGTTTTGTGGTTATAGCCTACTCAGTCTGACTCTGTTTGACCCCCCCCTGTAGGTTGAATCCTGTCACATTTTTTTTTTCTTGATGTTTCCAGCCAGTTGCTGTTGATTGAAGAGCGGTGAGCATTTTGTGATATTCGGTGATTGCGCTTTGCCGCAGCAGGAGACCCTTCTTCGAACCTTTTTGTCTGCACTGCTACCACCCATTCCGCCCCTCCCGCGCCTGCCCTCCCCTCCCTCTCTCTCTCTCTCTCTGGCTCCTCCCATTCCTTCTGCACAGTCGTAGCCAGCCGTCGTCTGCTTCGTTCCGGCGCATTTAGCTAAAAAAAAACAAACAAAAACAACCACAGAGGCCTCACTCTCCTCCTAACCATCATCATCAGTCTATTCCCTCCTGCCTCATATCAGGTTAGATCTCACATAAAAACTCGAAAGAGTATCCTACTTGGTAAATAAATATTAGCGACCTAATACTTTATTTATCAACCAACCATATATATACGGGGCTAGTCTTCAGCACATAGCCACCACCACAACCATCTTCACGAGGGAACGAACGAAAGAAAGAAAGAAAGAAAGGACTATCTTGTTTTTTTGGTATTTAATCCACTCTACCTTTCGATCGATTCGGCTTCAAATTCTGATTGTTTTCTAACCTTGGCCCTTTTTTTTTTTTCTCTCCTTCATCCTAACAACAAAAATCAAAATCAAAAACCAATTCGGCTTCATCGATTACTGACGATCGTTTACGCCTGATCGTCCCTACCAACCCATCCATCCAGTAAGTCTATCATCCTTATCTCTCTCTCTCTCTCTCTATTCGCTGCCCCTCATCTCCGTCATCCGCGGTACCCGAACCATCCAAAAAAACTGCTTGGGAGAACATTTCTCGATTGTTACCTAGCTTGCTATCCATCCAAGAGGATATTTTTATTCGAGGCAAGCTTTTGAGCTCATATCCTCAACCAGCGACTTTTCCTCAACTCTTGCGCTTTCATTCTCACTACCATCCATTTCCGATCAACTAGAAGAAACTGACATCCCCCCCCCCCTCCCCTCGTCTTCCTTCCAGGCTTTCCAACCTCTCTCTCCATCCTCCTATCCGCCATCCTAATCGCGCCCCCCTCTGATTCCCTCTCACCCATTCTAATCAACTCATCTTGCTTCCTTTCCAATGAGCAAAACCAACTCAACTCAACCACCAGCACCTCAATCCGTTCCGGTTTCCAACGACGCACCTTCCTCATCTTCATCTTCATCCACCCCCAAACCTACCTTCAACTACGCAGCTGCAGCCGCTCGTTCATCAAGCACCTCCTCTCGTCCGGGTTCTACCAACCCTCCCGCTGCTCCCGTTCCCGCTCCTGCTCCTGCTCCTGCTCCAGTCTGTCCCCCCTCCTTTGCCTCAGCCGTCGTTGCAACCTCATCTCCCCTCGCCTCAAACTCAACCTCCTCCACCAAAACATCCGTCAACCGGACCGCACCCGATGCCATTGCAACTTCTCGTGCCCCCAATGGCGTATCTTCTGCGATCAAGTCGCCTGTTCCCACACCCGAGCGGAAATCAAGCCTAATTTCTGCAAAGAGCCATAACATTAAGCCATGTACGTCTGCCCTTTTGATATTCATTTAAATGCTCGTTTCGTCTTTTACTTAATTTTACTCAGAAACTGATCATCACCATCCGCTTTCTTTTTTTCCCACAGCTTCCAGTCACATCTCCTTTGGCTCTCTAGCCGATATTCCAGCCAAGGCCGATAACCCTTCGGTTCTATCCTCATCTCCTGCGAATCCCCCTACCCTCTCGCAGCGTGATGGCCCTCCTGTCTTTGGATCTGTTCTGGCAGATCCAGCTAAAAAACCCGCCAAGTCCTCCTCACTGGTAACCTCTACAACATCCACAAAACCCAGTGGCGCGCCTGCTCCAGCCTCTGGTTTATCCGCCAAACCAGAGAAGAAGAAGATCGACTTTCAAGCGTTTTTTAGGTCGGGAGGAGAAAGCGTCTCTAACCCACCCCCCCCACCACCACCACCTGCATCCAGTGGATCGTCTCCATCACCCTCGATCTCCTACCGCGGTGACCCAACACAGCAACATCGGAGGAACCCTAATAGTATAGATTCTCATTCAGCTGCTCCTGCCGCTCCCGTTTCACCCCGGCCTGCACACATCGGTATCCCAAATGGGCCTTCTGCTGGCGCTTCCTTTCACTCTCCTCTATCTGGTGCCTCACGTGCTTTCACTCCAGCACAAGGTCCATCACCCATGTCACAACAATCTCAGCATCATCACCAGTATGGCGGTCACTGGCAAAACGGCCCTGCTCCTAACAGTCCTCATTTCGTCCCTGGGAACCCACCGATGAATGCCAATATGCCCAACTATCCCGTACCGAATGGCGCCATGGGAAACAATCATGGCGGTAATCAATCCCAGTATCTCCCCAAGCCCCCACCCTTTCAGCATCGCAATGGTCTTGGTGGCCAATCAGGTGGCTCATCAAGCACAATGTATCCGCCCTCAAGTGGTAGGTCTAACCTTCATCATCAGCCAAGGAATGGCAATACCGGCCCTCCTAGCCCTCGATTGCCACCTAGCAACGCTCCCAACAGTGGCCAGAGTCCGAACTTCCAACATTCCTCGAATAACCAAGGCATGGCAGCTCCTTATTGGCCACAAGGCACTTACCCACAGAACGGTCCCGGCCCATATCCACCTTATGGGTACAATCCCGGCAGCATGCCACCATACCCTCATCCCAATAATTTCCCTCCTCCTCAGCATGGCCAGCATCATTCACCTCAACTCTCCAATCAGACCGGGCCATCCGGGGTCCCTCCTCCTTCTGCACCACCTCCATCTTCGACATCGTCCGCAGCTCCACCTAATTCTTCCCGAACGCATCCAACCCCACCACCTCCTCTGCCGATTCCTTCATCACCAGTTCCTGCTAGTAATACGTATGCGCCTCCCTACCCTCCTGCCTTGTACTCTCCCGGTAGTAGTCACTCCAGAGGTCCCTCACTGTCATACAACGCACCAACCTTCAACCCCTCTGCCGCCCCGGATTTCAAGCCTCATACACCAAACGCAGCGGCTCCTGCTTTCCTGCCTCGGAGAAGCGCTGCCGTACCCATCAAAAAGCCCGTCACTCCTATCTCCGAAACTCCTGAAAAGCAAGACGAAGGCTCCTCTTCAGCTCCCATATCCAAGGATCGACGGACTAGTGCTTCTGCTGAAACTGGCACTCAAGTCAAATTGTCGGAACCGACTCAGCAGAAGATCAAGATCACGGAACCTGTCAAAAAACCCCCTACAGGTCCATCAAAGACCAACGAAAAGGCCCACGTCTCAGCTGAAGCCCAAAAGGCTAGCGATGCCAAGAAAGCTGCCGAAGAGGCTGCTGAGAAGTGAGTTATCCCCATAGTCTATTGTGTTCTTTTTTTTGGCTTTGTTGATAACAAATAATATGATTGCAGGAAAAAACTTGAGGAGTCGAAGGCTGCCGAAGACGCTGCGGCAAAGGTCAAGGCAGAGAAGGCTAAGGCTGAAGAAGATGCGCGTCTCGATCAGCTAGCAAAAGAGAAAGCTGAGAAAGAAGCCAAAGAACTGGCCGAAAAGGAAGCCAAGGCTAAGGCCGAGAAGGAAGCCAAGGAGAAAGCCGAACAAGAAGCTAAGGCAAAGGTCCAGAAGGAACAGAAGGAGAAGGAGGAGCGTGAACGACAGGCGAAGAAAGAGCAGGAGGCCAAGCAATTGGCTGAAAAGCAGGCCAAGGAGACCAAACCTCCATCGGAAGTCAAAAGTGTCGAATCTCAGACCAAAACATCATCGACCACTCCCAGTGCACCCACTCCGGCACAGCCTACAATTAAGCCTGTTGAGTCCAAATCAAGCGAAACTCCCGCCTCGGTCCGACCGGAACCCAGTACTACGCCAGCTCTTCCTTCTAAACCAGTCAACGGCGCCTCTGTGCCCGCCAGCGCTACCAAACTTCGCCCCGCTCCGATCGACGTTAATGCCCCGCCTCAGTCTAAGACCCCCGGTGAGAGCGTGACGCCCTCACTACCCTCCGCCCTTTCCTCTGCCCGGAAGATCGAAGACTTGGGTAAAGTCTCATACCCCGAAAACATCCAATCCCCTCGCTCCGAACTAAATGCAGATGCCACCCCTGGGAAGTTCCGATACGATCGTGCATTCCTTCTTCAATTTATGGAAGTCTGCAAGGGCAAACCGGTTCAGTTGCCAGATCTCGACTCGATCGGTATGGTGGACCCGCACAACGCAGGCATGAACCCGATGTCACGGACTCAATCTACTGGCGGACAGCGGAGGAATGCAGGTCAAATGCCGCCTAGCAGTCGTGGCCCCTCAGGCTCACTTACTCCCTCTGGCGGTAACATGTCAATGATGGGCCCTGCCGGCCTTGCAAACCGAGCCGGCCCTGGTGCTGGTATGCCGATGTTCAACACCGGCGCCACTCGAAGCAGTGAGGAACGGTTCAACCAATCAAATCGGCCGAGTATGGGTGCCATGCCTATTGGTATGGGGATCATGCTACCTGGACGACCCACTGGACAGATGTCACGCAGTCCAAGTACCAACGCTCTACCCGGAATCATGTCTAATGGTGCTCGGGATACCAGTCGGCGCAGCGGCAGAGGATCCAGACGTGATGGTGCTACTAGCCATGCTCCCTCGAACGTCAACACCAATCTCAATCGGGGTATGTCGATGCAGCAGATGTTCCAAGTCGAGGTGGTTCAACCTCTGCAGCCATCTGCCAACAGTTGGGCTGCTGCCCGAACAACCGTATTGGAAGAAGATTCTCCTGAACTGGTCAACCGGAAAGTCAAGGCGCTTCTTAACAAATTGACATTAGATAAGTTCGAGTCAATCTCCGATCAAGTGATCACGTGGGCCAACAAGTCGGAGAAGGAGCACGATGGTCGAATCTTGAGGCAAGTGATTGCGCTGATCTTCGAGAAAGCGACCGATGAAGCGCATTGGTCGGAGATGTATGCCAAGCTCTGCCGGAAGTTGATGGAGAAGCTGTCGCCTGCAGTCAAGGACGAAAACCTATCGGATGGCCTAGGTAACAAGGTGCATGGTGGTCAGTTGTTCCGGAAATATCTACTCAATCGGTGTCAAGAAGACTACGAACGTGGATGGAGCAAGCGAGACGAGCTCGCCGCTGCCGCTGCGGGCAAGGCAGCCGATGATGCCGTCAAACAGGCCGCAAATGAGAAATCCCGTGCCGAGGCGGAAGCCGAAGGCAAGGAAGCGCCTTCAAAAGAAGCTGAGATCCTTTCGGACGAGTACTATGCTGCTCAAAAGGCTAAGCGACAGGGTCTTGGTCTTGTTCGGTTCATCGGAGAACTGTTTAAACTGAACATGTTAACCGAGCGAATCATGCATGAGTGTATCAAGAAGCTACTGTCGAATATCGATACCCCTGAAGAGGAAGATATCGAATCTCTCAGTCGTCTGATGATGACAGTCGGTGGACTTCTTGATCACGAAAAGGCTATCAGCCACATGAATGTGTACTTTTCTCGGATGGCAACTATGTCTCAAAGTCCTCATCTGAGCTCTCGAGCTCGATTCATGATTCAGGTAATGCGCTTTTTTTATGGATCTCGAGATTTTTTTTCCCATTAACAGCTGATCGTGTTTCTTTCCAGGATGTCATCGACACCCGTAACAACAAATGGGTTGGCCGTAACGTTGCTGCCGGTCCTAAACTTATCTCTCAAATCCATGAAGAGGTCAGTGTGTGATTTGATGATTGGTTGGATTGCCTCTTGAACGGTTTATTGACCACACATCTTTTATTTTTTTTTTCTTCAGGCTGCTCAAGCAGCTGCAGAGCAATCACGACAAGCTCAACAAGCGAGCAAAAACAAGATGAACGACCTGTCGCGTGGCGGCAGTCGAGGTGGACGGACCCGAGACCAGCCAGGTGGAGATGGATGGTCGGCTGTTGGTGGGGTTTCCGCCCCTCCTCCACGCCCTTCGAAAGCCGGAGATTGTGAGTGTAGACAGCGATCGAAACACAGGGTGGTACAGTTGAGATACTGACTCGCGGAATTTGATGACAGTGACACAATTTGGAAAGCTTCGTGACACGTCCTCATCTGCTCGATCAACATACGGTCCTTCCAACGTTTTCGCCAACAAGGGCAAGCTGAAGGATGCCAAACTGCCGAGCGATCGAGAGCCTGCAGTGGCGGTAGCGCCGAACCCATTTGCGGCGCTCGGAGGGGACACCCATGAGGCGACGAGTGGGAATGGGCTTTCTCGGAAGCCTAGTGCGGCCGAGCTGGCGCCGGCCGGCCGACCGCGATTGAACCTGGCGCCACGGACGTTGCCCTTGCCCGGCCAGTCGGCCGAGGCCGAAGGGGCTGAGAAGAAAGAGGGCACAACGGGCGACGAAGCGGAACCGATGAAGGCAGAGGAGATCTCTGACGAACAAGCCGAGCGGGCCGTCAAGTCTAGAGTCGATGAATTCTTCCACGTCCGTTCTGTTGCCGAAGCCGCCGCCTCCTTTGTCTCTCTCTCCCAAACTCGCCACCATCAACTCATCCATTCTCTGGTCGAGAAAACACTCGAGAAGAAGGCCGCCGACGTCGACCTCACTGCTTCTCTCTTCCAGCATCTCGTCAAGGAGAACATTGTCCCATTGGACATCTTCCTCAAAGGGTTCACGCCTGTTATTGAACAATTAGATGATACCTCTGTAGAGTCAGTTCTTCCCCTCCCCCCCCCCCTCAAAAAAAAAAAAGAATGACATTGATGATTAACTGTTTTTTTTTTCTTTCTAGTGTTCGGTTTGCATATGAGTTCACTGGTAAACTGTTGAAAGCCGCCGGACTGGCTGAGAAAGAGGTGACTGAATTGGCCCAGAAAATCGAGACTGAGATGCTCGATCAGGCCGCTAAACGACTCCTTGACGGCTTCAAGTCGGCCGCTTTGCAGTGATTCTTCTTCTCACACGCTTATTCATTATATATACTCTTCTCTTTATATCGTATTCTTTTATCTCTCAATCTTGGTCTTCTATCTTCTTCTTAACTACAATCTTCTCTTTGCTTTTTGATCTTTTTTTTTGGTGGTTCTTTTCTTTGCCTTTTTTTGGTTTCCTTTTTCTTTCTTTACTTTTTTTGTTGATAAATGGTTGATTGATTGATGAATGATCAATTGATTGGTTGATTGGTTGGTTGATAAATGATTAATAAATGATTGATTGATGAGCACAAAAGGATCATGATGTTTTATTTTATTTTTATTATAATATATATATATAATATAGAGTAGGCTCAACAAAGAATATCATTATTTTGTCTGCTTCTTCTCTTCAGACCTCTGATGGCTCTGATTATAGCTCCACTATTCTTACACCCACTCTGGGCACAATATTATATGTCCTTCCATTCCTACTACTACTACTAACCTTGCTCATTAATGCAGTGGACACTTTCCATTTTTTTTTTTTTTTTTTTGATTACTCATTGTCTTGGAGGTTTATCTTTTTTTTTTTACTCATTTATATCATATCAATCTCTCCAAACGTATACATACATATAACTGTTTTTTGGTGGCTTGGCTTTTTTTTTTTTTTTTTTTTTTGGTTGAGTTGTGCAACTTGTTGTGGGGGGGATGACAGTGTGTAGGGGTTGGTGGAGTTGATCTTGAGAGGGGCTTGCTTCTCTAATCATGAAATTCGAGTTGCTGCATTTCTCCTAATCGGATGATCACGTTGATTTCTACTTACTTTTCTAGTCGGAATAAGATGCGTATTTAAAGTATCCTCCCAATTAGGACGGTTCACAATTCAAATTTTTCAGCAAAATTTTTATCTGAACTTAGCAGACCAACTGGACTGCACAGCACAAGATTTATCCTGCTGCGCCTGCTAGTTTCAGTCGGTTTCAGCAGTCTTGATCAAATGAACCACCGATGGAAATGCTCTGAAAGCTTGGGAATTCTTGTTACACTCTCCCCGGTTTCTTGTTTTTCACCTCATTCTCCCTTGATCGGCCGCTATCTCTCGCTTTCCTCCTCTCATCAGCCTCGATCTCTTGTTTGCCTCCTCTAATCAACCTCGACCTCTTGCTCACCTCTTCTAATCAGCCTCAATCTCTTGTTTTCCTCCATTATCTAATTTTCACTTGATTGACCTCAATGTCTTGTTTTTCAACTCATTCTACCTTGATCGGTCATATCATCGTTCTACCAAAGAAAGACACCAGCAGAAACACACAAAAAAGGAGTGCAGTACAATGAAGTGAGAATATTAGACACAAGCAAAGAAGAGAAAAGGAAGCGATTGAGTTTGAGGAAGGGGAACGAGGAGGCTATGTTGTAGTGAGTGCAGGACATAGATCTGTTTGGTGAACAGGGCCGATACCTAGGTGTTGTAGCATCTGATGATGAAGATTTCCTGGCAATTGGGTATCTTGGAGAGAGCCTGGATTCCATGCCAGATGATCGCTCTGCCAGCAACTGGGTTGGGTCGTTCCGAGTAGGTAAAGAAGCAGTCAACGGGGTGGTGTGCTACTACACATCCACCTCTCTCCAGCTATCATTTCCTTCACTGTAATTCTGTGGGTGATCGATCCATGATTCTTTGTTTCAGGGAGGAATGGTGACTGGTGGAGTAAACCGATCGGGGATCTGGGAGGTTTATGTAGTTGGTAAGGGCCAGTACCATAGGGCACAAAAATTCGATTTTTCAGAATTTATCTTACTCAAATTATCATTTCATCAGAATTCAACATAACCAGAAGCCAGTCATGAGCATAAAAGTGAAGACTCTCAATTTCAGATCTCTCCACTTTGTGTCAAATTTTATGTAGAAGGTAGAAAAAATGCACATTTTTCAAAATTGAATCCCATGGTACTGGCCCTAAGTGTGTTGCTGAATTAATATTAAAATTTCAGATTTTCAGCAACAGGTACGTTGCTGAAAAGTGTAAAATTTTATACATATTTTAATTTCAGCAAGCAGATATTTTATTACAAGTTAGCAGACGGAAGTGTCAAATGTGAACCGGGCTATTGGTTATGACACTTCATCAATTACTTTATTTTTGAAAAAAAAAAAAAAAAGTGTCACACTTGGAATTCTGAGGTTTTGGGCAGTGGTGGATTATATAGGGGGATGATATAAAGGAATATGAAACCAAAAAAAAAAAAAAAATGCAAAATGCTTATGTTACATTTTAAACAAAATAAAAGCATCATTCAATTTTTTTTAGGGGCTTGGAAAAACGACTCCCAAATTTTAGTCGACGACTCCCGTTTTGGTCGGGAGGTTGTCGGACGGGAGTCGTCCCTCCAATTCCTGAAAAAATATAGGGAGTCGTCGCACTAATTTTACCTGGAGATTTTTTATTTTTTTTATTAAAAAATTGGGAGTCGTCTGACTAAAATGCGGGAGTCGCCGCACTAATTCCGCCTAATTTTTCACATTTTTTTATATTCAAATTGAAGGGAGTCGTCTGACTAAAGTACGGGAGTCGTCCCACCAATTCTGCCCAATGTTTTGCCTTTTTTTTCTATGTTAAAAAAATATGGGAGTCGTCCAACTATAAATGGGAGTCGTCGCCATATGGCACCCTCAGAGACTTCAAAAAAAGGTTGAGCCACTGAGGCCCCACCCCAAAGGCAAGATAAAAAAATTAGAATGATAAAAAAATTAGAATGATTGAGAAATACCATTGCAAGAGATAAAAGAGATGACAAACGGGCCAAAAACATTCAAAAATGATCAGAAATGTAAGAAAAAAAACAGGGTAAAAAAGGACATAGAGGAAAAAAATCAAAAACTGAAAAAGACACAGGATAAAAAAAAACCCTAGTAGTGTTTCATTGGATTTTCTATTTCCTCTCTACAGTCAATTCGAAAGAATCAGAAAATTGGGCTTCCCATCCCCAAGCCTCTTCTGATGCCTTTTCTTTCCACACGTTCATGAGCTGAGGGGCAGCAAACAGTCTTGGGTTATGTAACTGCAAGGGGACAAAATGAAAAAATTCATGCAGAAAAGCAATAAAAATAGGGGCGTTGTCATTGGGGGGGGGGGCAGAAAGAAGGAAGAAAAGTCTGGCAAAAGGTGTCAGAAAAAAAGCAAACAGGCCTCTCAAAGGAATTTTTCATTACCTCACCCGTCGAAGGCATGGACATCCAATGAGGCTTTGAACAAGGTGATGGCAAATCAACCTTGATACGATCCAAAGCGCCGTGGAGTTTGTGGAACACATTTCGATACCAATCAGGCCGGCGAACAATTTCATTGTACAATTCATACCAACTCCTAGGGATTTGTCGATGACTCCTGCGAGACGAAAAAAAGCAGTTGTCAGTTTGGACGATTGGGCCATCAACTCCCTTTTTGTCTGGGGAAATTAGCCTGACGACTCCCAAGGAAAAAAAAAAGAATCAATAAAATTAAGGATCACATTTGGGGCGCCGACTCCCGCCTTTTAGGCGAACGACTCCCGAATTTTCAATTAAAAAAAAATAAAAAATTGCCTGTGGAATTAAGCCGACAACTCCCGGGAATTGGAAGAACGACTCCCGTTCGATGACCTCCCAACCAAAACGGGAGTCGTCAACTAAAATGTGGGAGTCGTTTTTCCAAGCCCCTTTTTTTCATTTCCTTTAATAATTTTTTTAAAAAAAAATACAAAATCAAGTGGGGAGGGTAGCTGAGAGGTGGGGGATAATGATTATGAAATGAAAAAAAAAAATAAAAAAAAAAAAATAAAAAAATCAATATTTGATTGGCCCACCAGAGGCCTCCACAACCAGACACATTCCGCTATTCGATCGAGGCCACTGTTCTCAGCGGTTTTGACGGTCCCACGAGTCTGAGCCTGTGAAGCAATCAAAGAGACCGTTGTTTGTCCGGAGCCCACAATCCTCCCAACTTGCCCATGAGACATCCCGGCAATGCAAGCCTTCTGCTCCGTTGTGAGGTTGGGCTGTCCTCGGATACGTCCCATCAAATCAATCACATTCCACATGAATGAAGAGACAAAGCAAAAATCAGAAAAAGAAAAAAAAAAGCAGTAGAAATACAGACTAATGTCTGATTCCAATCGAATTTGTCCTGAGGCCGAGGTTGACCAAGTTTGTTCCGATATCAATTGTTGATGATTGAGGTTCTGTGATTGGTTGTTGGCCCGCAATGAAGAGATTGACTTGCACCCGCACACTGCAGTTTAGTGCGCGGGTACAAGCAACGCTGCCACAGATACGGTATCTGCCCGTATCTGCCATGTATCACTATGTATCTGAGCCCCAATAAAAAAAAACTATCTGACCAATCTGCTTTTATTTGCAAGGAGATTCAACAAATTTGGTTTTTGGCCATTCAGCTTTGCAGAATTCTCCATGATACACACAGCATATCGTATCTGTGGCAGCGTTGGTACAAGTCAACTTGTGACAGTTCACCCCCAGACATAAACATCTGGGAGGATACTGTACATTGATGGGAATTTCTGATTGTAAAAGCTCACATCTTGATCTCAATTTCGGTCCACATCTCAATCTCAATCTCAATCTGAGTCTGAATCTCAATCTCAATCTCTATCTGATTCTGAATCTGAATCTCAATCTCAATCTTGGAGTGGTGTTGGGAGTGTAGCGTGAAATGGAACATGTCCATGGAGGGCTGAGCCCCTCTAGCCCAGGACCTGCCCACAAGCTCACCGCGGCTTGCGGCACAGTCCTCTCTGAAGCCCCACACCAGAGATTCTCTCCTGGTTGCGCAGAGGGGCCTGGGCCTCAAGGGGAGGAGCTGCTTGCTCTTTACTCTCCTCCCCCAGACTCGGCCTCTTCCATCTCTCCCCAAAGGAATCCCTTCCCCTTCACCCGTCTCCCTTGAGATCTCCCCTCTTCCAAAATCCCTGCCATCTTTTAATAAAATTTCATTACCATAAATTCCCTTCCCGTTCCAACACATCATGTCAAA